CCAAAGTTTTTAGCTAAGTTATGTGGCTTCAACAGTAAACCCCTTTTTCCTGGGGCACAGTCGTACCCTAGTAAAACCCTGGACAAGGTCTGAGTGTCTCCAGAAGCCAGGACTGTTCCCAGTTGGTGGGACCACAGTCACTGCCCCCATTTATGCTCTCCCACAGCCTCCTGCATACACGAAAACGTGGAGCAAAACACCGTCCTTAAGCAGGCATTATCCAACTTCTGTTCAGAATCATTTCTGCTCTCTTCTCAGGGGACGGACTCCTCTAATCGCTCCGGTGTTTTGAATCCCTCCTTCCAAAAGCCAAGTGCTCCCTCAGCAGCCATCTGCCAGGGCTGCTGCAGTCAGACATGGCGGGACCATCCAGGACAGCATCCTGGGGCCGGCACGCCTCTGCCTCGCTTATAACATGTTAGCTATTTTTATCCATTACACACAGCTAAAGAAAAGGGTTGGTTTTTGTTGGTTTTTTGGGTTTTGCTTTTGTTTTTTTTTTTTTTTGAATAAGTACTTGAGGGAAAAAGAGACTGCACTGAAACCTTCAGTAATTTCGGAGCAGCTCATCCCTCGGCCACCCTCAGAAGCCGCAGCCCCTTCCCCCTGCCCGCCCCCTCCCACTCTGAGCAGGGACGCGATGGGACGGGCCGGGGGGGTTCTGGCTGCCTGTGCCCCCGCAGCACCATGCGCCCCAGTGCTGCTTGCCATTTTAGGCAGTCAGGCCCAGAAATATGCAGGAGACATAAATAATTCCTTTTTCGCAGTCGGCCTAGAGGACGGAGCTGGCGCAGCAGCGGCGGGGCTGGGCGGGAGGCACCGCGGGCACGCCGAACACAGCAGGGCTCTGAGCCCTCAGCTGCCCACCCTTCCTCGGCTGAAGGAAAGGAGAGGAACCCGGAGATCTGACGGCAGCCCTGAGCCACAAGGTGGTTTTAACAGGAATTACTGCGGGAGCGCTGGGGCAAGCCAGCAGAGGCTGGTCCGAGGGCACCAAAGCGCGGAGGGTCCCTGCCCTGAAGCGCTCCCAGCCCAGGATTTGGGGCAGCAGCTCTCTCCGGGCTGCCCTCAGGGGCAGGACCTGGCCGTAGCTCAGGCAGGGGGATTTTGGTGGAGACAGGAGCCTCTGCCCATCTTGCCCATCTGCCACATCTCACCACAGCTGCTCAAAGGGGTTCTGTGCTGGAAAAGTACCCTTGGAGAGTAAATTTGTCTTGCCTCAATCCAACATGTGTCACGTCCCTGGACGCTGCCATCCACCTGGGGCTTGGCTTCTGCACAGCTGCTGAACTGAAGATCACAGGCAGAGGAATTCCCCTGGTCGGGGAACAACCGCTCCTCTTAGAGGGTCCAGCACGGCTGAGCCTCACTGGGACATTAGAAAGTGTCACTGGGCTCTGAGCCTCTGCAAGGGGCATTGTCCCTGTGTCAGGCTGCTGACACGAGACACTCTGCCTCCCCAGCTGGGAGGACAGGGCATCTGGAAGCTTTGGCTCCCATCCCCACTGCTGGGGTCCCTCAGCCCAGAAAGTCTGTGATCACCATTACAGGAGCCTGCAGAGGCTTCAGACCTGGGCTCACAGTGGGGAAATCTCACCCTGAGTATCTGAACAGGGTCTCTGAAACTGGCCTGTGACCAAGTCTCAGGTGCAGAAATAACCTCCCCCCTTGAAGCACCCTGTGATTTCATTAGCTTCCGAAGAGCCTGGCCAGCAGAGTCCTCAGCACTGAGACAGCTGCTTCATGCCACTATTTACTTCAGCTCTCCAAATGAAAGAAGAAAAAAACCAACCCTGAAATATGTTCCTGGTGCCCTGAAAACAAAACACGCCAGAGTTTTGGCACCACATGCTGATCCTTAGTAGGTGGAGATTTGCGTTGACTCCAGCTGAGCTCTGCTCTTTGACATCAGCACAAGAACTCGCCTGCATCTGCAAATACCCAGCTTATGCAATGCCACTAAGTACATTGCCTTACTGCCACTCCACCAGCTCATAAATCCAGCCTGCTCCGGCCCCACGGAGCACCGGGGACTGCGGCTGCTCCACAGGAACAGGGATGTGCTGGAGAAACAGCACTCGCTTTGTTTGGTCCCTCAGCACTGGGGTGTTGACCTGTGGGAATCCTGAAAGGTTGCTCCAGGAATAAAGACGTGTCCTTTTCTCTATGGGAGGACTTGGGAGGGTTTTCCACGTCCCACCCTGCAGCCCCTGCAGAGCTGCTCCTCTGCCTGCTGAGCTCCCCAGAACCTGCTGCCAAGGGCCCTTTGAGCTGCAAAGAGGGAAAAATCTCTCGCTTATTCACTGTGGGTGAAAAAATATTTGCTGGAGGGCCCAGTTTAATGAATAATGAGGGGATAAAAGGGCTGCAGCAGCCCCAGCAGATGTGTCTTGCCCAGTGCTTCCCTTCTCCATTGCAATCTGCTGGCGCTGGGTGTCCGTGGTGCTGACAGGAGCACACACATGATGCCAGCACAGCCTTGGGGACAGCTTGGAGGTGCTGCAGGGGAGGGATGCTCACACACACCAGGGGTCCCCTCTGCAGATCCAGCCTAGCCTCTCTCCGCAGGGAGAAGAGATGCCTGCATCCCCAGCCCTTCCGAGCTTCTCCAAATGTTGAGGCTGGCAGATCTCTACCAACAAAATAAGGTCCATTAATGGCCCTGCAGGCTTTGCAGGCTCCAAATGAGTGAGGTGTCTGGATTTCCCTTCTTGTGCTTTTAAAGTGTCCCCAGTCTCAGCTTGCGGCTCCAGCAGTAGGAACTGTCATGGAAACCTCCAAATGCCCTTTTTTGACAGCAGCTGCCAAACACACAGCTGAAGAGCATTCCCTCCCTGTGACACAACTAGGAAATTACCCCTGCTATCACTTTGGGATCTTCTGTGTGCCTGCAATATTAAGATAAACGGTTTGGAAACCTGTGGAGCAAATTCACTGCAAATGAGATTGGGCACAAAAGCATCATAAGCCAGAAATTCAAAGAAATCCAGATATTCGCCACTATATTTCAGTCTTGTTCTTGGCTAACGAGTTTCCTTCAATGACATTTGCTGCCACAAAGGAATTTCCTGGTGCTATGAGACTTCCAAGGGATAAAAAAGAAATATTTCCATTTCTTGAAGATAGACCATAATTCAAATCATCTCTCACCCATGTCTCTTTTTGATCAGGCCATCACAGAGTCAATAAGCCACGAGTCCTCAGCTGAATGAGGCTGACGGGCCAGCAGAGGCATGAGAGCCTGGTGAGAAAGCACAGCTGCAGCACGGCAGTGGGAGGCAGGAGCACTCCAAGCCTGAAGCTTCTCTGGTGCTGCTGACAGTGTGGGCCTTAAAGAGTTTGGTGAGCATCCCAAACCATGAGTGCAACAGAAACCCCACATGCTGCCCAGGCTCACTGAAAATTCAGCTGTTATTGATGCAGCTTGAATCTCCTGGCCCAGAGATGTTATTTAAGAAAAATCAGCAGATACTTAAACTGCCTGAGGTCCTGTGTAGAACCAGCAGCAGTGCACATCTCTTGGTCCCAGAAGCCTTTCAGAGTCTGCCCAGGGTCAGGGGCTCGGGCTGGCAGGAGGCTGCTGACAGCAGAGGTGCTCTCCTGGCTTCTCAGCTCCTGCTCTGGATGTGCAAAAGCTCCCTTGAGATGTGGGGAAGGGATTCAGAAAGGCAAACACCCAAACTTTCCTCTGAGTACTGGAAGAGCCTCCTGACATGAGTTTCTGCTGTGAGAGCCATGCTCTCATACCAACCACCCCAACTTTTACACTGAATTTCCCAGCATGTTTGTTGTTTTAATAAGTTTTGCAGAGGCCTGAAGCAAGGACAGCTGATAAGATCTGTGTGAGTTTACTGAAGCAGCCATCAAGGGAAATTTTGACAGACTGATAAGCAACCAAATGTAATTCTTGCAACAAGAGCTACCAGACAGTTTAGAGATTAATGAACAGTAGCAGCCCCTGTGAACAAGGCCTGAAGAGCTGTCGGACTCTTCCAGAAGACTCCGTGCCACATCCAAGACATGCCCAGACTGCAAAAACAGGGACAGAGGTGGGGTGGAAGTACCAGCTACAAAAGTACTGCACAAGACATTCATCACATGGCTTAGTTTCCTCTGCTTAGTATTCAGGTCATTTGACTTGCCTTGACGAGAGGAGGGAGGATTTCACAAGCCAGATAGAAATTAGTTAACCAAACAACGCACAAGTGTTGCCAGAGTACATTGCAGGCAAAGCTGAGAGGGCTGGAAGGGAGAGAGCCACTAATCATTTGTTTGAGCACAGGATATCGTTCTGGATTTTAGCACTCAACTCTGTGGCCACTGAACCCCTCAGCCTTCCCCACTTCCCTCCAGCCCATCACGCCAAGAGGGCTCCAGTCTGCTGTTCAAACACCTCTTCGCTCCTGGCCAGCAAAAGGAGGGATCCTGCAGCAGCAATGCATCAGCCTGGGGTATGCCCCCACCATCCGTTCCTTTGTTCACTTGTTGTGCCTGGCTAATCTGTCTTTAATCACTTTAAATTATCCAGCATTCAAAGGAGATGCCATTTATAGGCTCTAATTGCCAAGCTCCTACCAGTTCTTGTTGCTGCAAAGCTCTTGTGCTGTCAGTCAGAGATGGTCCCTTGCTGCAAGATAACAACATGAAATTTCACTACACAGAAAGAGAGACCTTGTACAAGTTTGGCATCTAATTACTGGGAAGAATCTAGAAATTTCCAATATTTTTATCAAAACAAATATGCTGGACATACAGAATAACCAAGGCTTAGGGCACAGGTTTGTCCCAGTGCTCCCTGGCATTTCATTTAATTATCATGAGTGTGCAAGCCCTGGAAACACACTCAGCAACAGGGATTTGTTCCCCATCCTCTGCCTGAGGAAAGCAATGAGCAGCATCTTCCTTCCCACCACCTGCAGCCAGCACTCAACCCAAAAGCTCCTGGTGGCCTCTCCAGAGCAGAGCAGAGCAGAGCAGAGCAGGACAGAGCAGAGCAGGGTCACACCTGTCTTCATCCTTCCCCTGCAGGGCTGCAGCAAAGCAGGAGCAGAGGGGCAGTGCCCTCCCTCCCCACCTCCTGGAGGCTGGCTCAGGGCCCAGGTCCCTGCTGCCAGGAGAGGGATGTCCCTGCTCCACCACAGATCCCACACGCTCCTGGCTCGCTCTGGGCTCCTGACTCACAGTCACACACAGTGCCCGTGCTCCGGGCTTAGCAAAGGCCAAGTCACTTGGGAAGCCCCTGTGGGCCCCTGGAAATATCAGGAATGCAGGTGAGCTTGCTTTTCTCCCTCTTTCTAACCCCCCAGCCTCAGTTCCATGGGTCTGTCCGGCTCTGCAGCACCAGCAGAGCCAGGCCACTGCTGCTGCTGGCTGGGAACGCTCGTGGTGCTCTGTGCTCTCCAGCTCTGCAAGTCCCCTCAGGAATTTTTTTCCCTCAAAGACTGCTTGCTTGGAGATAGCCTGACCTCTCCCTAAGGCCTCCGTGGGCTGGCTGTAAAGCAAATTGCAACAAATTCCTGGCCTGGAGTTAGCTGGGCTAACTTCAGCCAGGATCTGATTGCTCTTTGCCTGTTTTCCTTTGCTTTCACAGGTGCTTTTCCAGCCCCTTCCCTTCCTGCTGCAGCTCCCGTTGGTTACCAGGCTCCACCATGGCCAGAGGTCCTGTGACTCCAGTCCCCAGGGAGGGACCCATGTTCAGCTCACTCCCCAGCACAGACCCAGCTCTGCCTGCAAGGCTTCTCACAGCCTCTCTGGGAATCTTCCAGATGCTCCTTTAACTTCTTTATTTTTTTGGAGCCTACAGCTCTTTATTAGAATTTGCTCTAATCTTATTTTAATTCCTTCTGCACAGTCTCTTGCTGCCTTAGATCTACTTTAATTCCTTTTGCAAGATCTCCACCTCTTGTTTTATGTCTCCATTTGAAATCTTTTGGCCTAAGGTCCTGGGCTCTGTGCACGGCTCGGGTATTTGCTCCATTACGTTCAGCAGCAATTCCAGCTCACAACTTGTTCCTTTGAAAGCAGCTCCTGCTCCTGATAACCAGACTTATCCCTGTTTGATCTGGATCAAAGTTTGGGGCCCCACTAAGATGACCCAATTAATAGGAAAAACTGACAAAACACTTAGGCATTTTCTCTGATGAAATCCTACATATTTATGCAGATTGAACAGCCCTGGTTCCCTGAAAAGAAACATGAGTGAGGTTTCCTTTCACACAGCTCCGGGCGTGCACCAAACAAGGCTCAGTCTCCCTAACTGCTCCTTTTAAACTTTTCTAGGATAACCCCCCAGGATGCCCCTCCTGATTTATTCCCCTCCCTGTCTCTGTTTCTCCATTCTTTATTCTCCTCTTGCCTAGATTGATGAAAATCCATCAAACAGCTGCCTGGAGGTGTTTTCCTCAAGCTGCACCAGTGAGCAGACAGAAGGACAGGGACATATTTTCGAGGCAGAAAACCAAGGGGTCAGCTCCTACTGACCCTGCAGCTCCCACCAGCACAGGCCGGGGTGAGTCACCTCTTCCCTTTGAATTACATCCTCCTGTTTCAAAAATGAGGACATGACAAAGCCTTCAAGAAAATTTTGCTCTGGTTTGGTCAGGAAGTGCAGAGTTTGTAAAGGAACAACCTCCTCAGTGTGTGCAGCCAGCTGTGCCAGCACAGGTGCTGTCCCTGCCCTGCACACATGTGACCATTCCCAGATCCTCTGGGGCTCCTGGCATCTCCCTCTAAAAGCAGGGTCCCCAAATAACATCCCAGGTTGCCTAAACTCCCCTGGACGCAATTGCAGGGGGAATTCAGCCATCCTGCATCCTGCCTGGACTTACAGAGGGGAAAGCGAAGGGAGAAGGAAGCTTGTTTTTCTGCTTGTCAGCAGCATTAAGAATTGCACTGGCAGACAGACAGACAAGTTTTCACTGGTGGAAAGACCTTAAAAGACAATTGTTTATTTAAACTAACTCAAGGTCACAGAGATGTCCAGTTTCAGAGAACTCTTTTTTTCCCTTCAAAATTCTGCATCTGCATGAAGCAGGACAGTATGTGCACGTGGCTCCTGCTGATAGTGGGAGGGAAAAGGAGGGCTGGGAAAGATGCTGGAGCCTGAAGAAAAGCAGAAGCTTTCTGTGAAAGAGTACAGACTGGGCAGCCCTGACTGGGCAGCCCTCCCACCCAGCAAGAGCAAAGCTCAGAGGCAGACAGAGGATTCCATGATATTGTCTTCTAGTTTTGGAAAATGAATTAAATGAATTCAGTCTCTACCCTTTAGTAGTGAGGATTTAAGTGCTGGGTTTTCCCAAATACCACAGTGTATTTCCTTCCAGTGGCAGGTGGCTGGGCATGGCCAGGGTGAGCTGGGATCACAGCACAGCCCCTGCAGAGGTTCTGAGCATCCCTGGACACGTCATCCTTGTGAGCCCAGACCAGAGAAGGACACCTGGCAGGGCTCCTCCTTCCCTGCACAAGAACCAGGGTCTCTGAGGAGCCTGTCACTGGGCTTGGCCAGTTGGGTCATGGGCATGTTCCTGACCTTCGAGTGCTGGATCAAAGGAAAAACAGCCAGCCCAACCTAATCTGATTTCATTGAGACCACAACTGACACAAACGGGAGTTGGCCATTTGCATCTGGGATGTGATGCAGGTGAATTCCTTGTGCAAGTTGCCCCACTAACCTTTCACAGATTGATGCTGTTTTGGAAAATGCAAACCATCACTACATCTGCAAATCCAGAATCTCCATGGCTGAAGGGGGGGAATTTAGAGAAGTCATGTGGCAGAAAATAGGTTTGAGCTGTTTTTGCGAAGAAACTGCCTGAAGTGTTGAAATTGGAAGGTTCCTGGAGAGCTTGGAAAGTCAGATTTTGACTGTAAGCATAATCAAAGTGAAGTCTCATTTCGTAATTGAAAAGACGAAACTGTCAAAACTCTTTGGATTTATGGCTACTGGAAACCACCGTCCAATTATTTTCTAAATTGGTTGTCTCCAAAATCAAAAGAAAGCTCTAAAGCTCTGTCTTTGCAGAGATTTTGCTAAAGAAGGAAAGCACAGTTCTTGGGATTGAAATTTGATTTGTTTTCTCAGGGATTGGGTGACTTTTTTTCCAGTACAACAGAAATTGTACAGATGTCAGTACCATGGGAAATGGAAAATGTTTTATAAGAGTTAACTCACTATTTTCCTAAGTTTTCCTTCATGGATTTGAAGACCATGTTCTGAGCAGACCCATGACTAAGTCACTTCTTAGAGTCTTTGCAGATAAAATCTGGCCCTTGCATGACACAAAGTGAAGAAGTCTTGAGAAGTGCCCTGGCCCCAGCAGGGTCTGCCGTGAGCAGATGGAGCAGCAGACCCGGGGCTGCTCTGCCCTGTGAGCACTGAGCTGCCTTGGGCACGTTCTGCCTCTGCTTCCTGCAGTCCCCATCTCACACCCTCTGTTCATTTTCATTGGGAAGGAGGTGATCAATCCTCCTAGCCCTGGGCTGTTGCTCCAAGCACACCAGTCAAAGCAGAAAAGACTCAGTGACAGATTCCCAGCCATTGGATGGTGATTGGGAGTGATGATTAAAGAACATGGAGCAATGCAGTGCCAGAGATATTGCATATGCCTTCAGGATAAAGCTGAATGGTTCCAAACTGGAAATTGTACTGTTTTCTCTTGCCAGAAAACATTTGCAATTTTGAATCCATCTTTTATCCTGACTGGTCAAATATGTGTATCCACAGAAATCTGTGCTTGCAGCCCCAACCAGCTCTGAGAACTGCACTGCAGGAACTGTCACTCCCAGCTGGATCCAGGGGGTGAACACAGCCTGTAGGTGCGAGATGGTCAGCAGGTTTTTGGTGTCTATAAATACAGGTATTGTATATGTACCTGCTCAATAAATATATATCTGCAGTCTTTTGGTCCTACAGTGATGAACCACCTCAAAACAATCCCCTATCGAGTGCAGCCTGGAGACACTAAAGCCTTCTGTGTGCCACATCCCAGCCTGGAAACCACAACTGTTTCATTTTCCAGCTCTAACACTCCTGACCTCTCCCAGCCTTTCGTACACTCCCGAGACTCATACTTTTCTCAGGATCACAGTGAGCTTGTGTTTTTCATTCTCATGTGATTAATAAATTATGCTCTACAGATATTTAAGCAGCTCATGTTTATTTTTCTGTCAATAGAAAGAGAATGTTTATTTGATCTGGGAGCACTATTTTCCATTGTCTGAATTTAAACTTCAAAACAAAAACTTGAGATATTAGGTGATTTATGAGCCTCTGCTAAAAATAACTCAGCCCATTCTCATCAGTGACTCTCATTTTGCTCAGTATCCCAGCAAAACGATGGGGAAGGAGGAGTGGAAGTCCCTGGCTCCTGGTAAAGACCCAGACCTTGAGCACAGACCCATGTCCCTGCCCCAGCCTGCTCCAAGCAGACCCTGCAAACGTGGGGGGACCTTCACGCACTGAGCAAGGCTCCAGCTCTGACTCCCCAAGAAACATGAACAGTTTTTTGTTTGGGACATTAAACTCACAGCTTCAGCTCTTGGATTCTCTCAGCTCTGGTATCTAATGTGTGAATACCTCTTCATTTCATCTTCACCTCTGGACAACAACTCCTGAACTTCACTTACTACATGGCTTCCTCCCTTCATGCAGCCATGTGGTACCCAGGGAAGTGTGTTCAGTCCTGGGATCTCAGAGCACAGGGAGGAACAGGCACACAAGGCACTGGACTACAATTCCCATGAATCTCTGCCAAAGTATTTCAAAATAATTTTAGGTTTTCGCCCCCCTTCCCCCCCCAAAAAACCCAAACCTAAAACAAAACAAAAGAAAACAAACCCCCCCAGGTGATCTACAGGGGAGAAAAACCCCAAATGAACCCACTCCCATAAACAAAGCCAAACCCATTTTTTTGCTGAAATAGTTTTCAGTTGGAAGACAGCTTTGCTGGACATTTTCCCAGCACCTGCAGCTGTAACAGCCGTGCTCCCAGGGCCTGGGGAAGGCTGGGAGGACGAGGAGCTGCTGCGGGCCGGGACAGGGCTCCCTTTGCCGTGCCCAGATCCTGGGCTCAGGCAGCACCTGCCGAGGGTCACCTGGCCGGGCACGGCAGGAGCCAGAGCCTGGCCTTCCTCCTCCTCCTGCTGCTGCTGCTGCTGCTGCTGGGAAGGTGCTGGGAGCATGTGCGAGGCAAGCCCCGGCTCCGGGCGGCTGGGGAGCACGGCTGTGCTTCCCAGCTCTAAATAAAGGCATTTCCTGCCATGCCGGGCGCGGGGGCGATGATGTTTGTGTCAGGGATGAGCCCCGGGAGAGGCGCGCCAAGGCCGGGATGCGGCAGCTGCCTGAGCCGGGAGAGGAGCATCCCCGGCAGCCGGAGAGGAGCATCCCCGGCAGCCGGAGAGGAGCATCCCCGGCAGCCGATCGGCCCCGAGCCCTCCTTCCCCCGGCCCTGCTCCCGGCTCCCGGGCAGTGTCCGGAGCTCCGGGACTCACCATGCCCGCGGAGCACTGCTCTGGACAAAGAGCAGAACACAGCCGCTATCTACAGGGCAGGGAGGGACTCTAAGGTTGCAGTTTATGGGATAAACCACCAACAGCAAACAAGCCAGTCTGCTGGCAGAGCCGAAAGCTGGGAGAACAAACCTCAGCCGTACTGCACAACAGGCTCGGTTCAACAGCTGGGTGCTCCAAAAATCCACCAGTTTGTCTGGGTGCCTAGCAGGGGCAAACAGGCCACTGTTTCCTCCCGCAGGGATGCTCATCCATGGATAACCTGCCTCGGGGGGAGCAGCTAATGGTTCCCACACCGCTCCCTCCAGAAATGCACCAACGCCAGCTCCATTTGCCTGCTCGATGCCAGCTGTGCTGTGACAGGGTTTCCTTACCCTGGAGGTGAGACACAACCTGTTCCCACCCCAGGTCAGATCCTATATGGGGAGGGAGTTAGGGGTCAGGGCTGTCTGGGTCATCCTCCCCCCAAGTAACTCACTGGGGTGAGCAACCCAAGCTCACGGCCTCTTTCAATCCCTAATTTCCGGAATACGTCAGAAAACTATAATTAAGGAGCCCTCCCCTTCTGGTGGAAGTCTGCTTGTGTCAACAGAGAGACTGGAGTATTTAGCAGACTTCTTTTTCCATCCTGCTAATTTTAGGCCCTTATATAACATTTCTTTCAATACAACCCAGTTTCTGTAGCCCACTGAAGGAACGGCATTTCTCATTTGTCTTACACCAGTGCCTAAAATACTCCCCAGAGCTGGGGGGCTGGCTCTGTGCTCCCCAGCACGCACGGGGCCAGCTCTGCCCACCACACCACGATGTTTAAACAGCCCGGTACGTACAGGGACACACACACAGAGACAAAAGAGGGGCTGTGCTGGTGCAGCAGCAGTGCAGGATGGAATAAAAGCCTGGTACCCCTGTCCTGCACGGCCCCAGCTCTGGGCAGGTATCCTCTGCCAAATGCCAGCACAGAAAAGGGTTGAGGAGGTGACACCTGACACGCTGATGCCTGAACCTCCCGGTGAGCACTGGAGCTCCACACGGTGATGCTTCAGCTTTCAGCCCTCACTGCAAATTCCCTCGGCCCCTTCCTGCGCTGTCATCTTTGATGATAAGCGGTTCTTACCTTCCCAAGTAAACCTCAAAGTTTGTGATGCTCCAGAGCACATCAAAAATACATCAAAATAACTCAAACTCCCTGCAATTTGCATTTCAAAGCCACAGTAAGGCATGGAAGGCAAAAGCAAACAAGGCAGCAGCAGACACCCAGACCTGTCAATTATCCCGCTGATTTTTTTGCACAAGGCTGGGAGAGCTGCAGAAAAAAACTGCCTGGGGCCAAGCTCATCCCTGCCCTGGTGCTGCTGAATTCAGTGGCTCTACACGTGCAGACGAGATTTGGCTTTCCTACAGACTTTTCCCTGTGAAAAGGCTGCTTATCAGCATCACTGTGGGGGCAGCCTCGGGACGCCTTGGACAGGTCGGGGGGGATCAGCCAGCTAGCTGGTTAAACAGGAAGGAGTTTTCACTACTACTGAGGGGAAAAATGGAGCTGGAGTTGCCTGAAAGCACAGAGAACACTACAGAGATGCCACTGAAATGCTATGTGTGAACAAGTGTCAGCAGCGGGAGCAAGGTGTGGTGGTTCCCTGCCAGAACAGGCGCTTCCCACGCTGCGGATCCGGCCCTCGGCCCCCTCCCTCCCTC